GCTGGGATTATAGGCATGAGCCACCGCACCTGGCCAGAAAAATTATTTTCATTATTGAAAATAAAAGTGGGGGGGGGGGACAATGAGATGTTAACCAATCTCTCCTAAGTGGTTATATCCTAGACTGGGGTTCTGGATAATTTTTACTTTCTCCATTATAGACTCTAGATCTCTGCAGTGTTGGATTTTTGCAGAATGTGTATCTATTTTATGATCAGAAAAAAAGGCGACATTTAAGAGTTAATGTATTTCATCTTCTTTTTCCCTTTGGATTGCAGGCATACTATGCCACCTTCTGGTCATGATACGGCTACATGTGCCTGCAGCAGGGACAAAAACCATTAAATTGTGAATAGTTACTATTTCCTCTTTGCCGTGGGAGGTCAGATCCTGAGACAGCTGTGTGTGTGTGTGTATGTGTGTCTGTATGTGTTTGTGTTCTGAGAAATGGTCTCACTCTGTTGTCCAGGTTGCAGTGCAGTGCAGTGGCATATTCACAGCTCACTGCAGCCTCAACCTCTTGGGCTCAAGTGATCCTTCCGCCCCACCTCCCTGCTCCCAACCATACTTGACTGATTTTTTTTTTTTCCTTGAGACAGAGTCTTGCTCTGTCACCCAGGCTGAAGTGCAGTGGTGCAATCTCAGCTCACTGCAACCTCCACCTCTCGGGTTCAAGTGATCCTCCTGCCTCAGCCTCCCAAGTAACTGGGACTACCGGTGAGCATCACCGTGCCCAGCTAATTTTTTTTTTTTTAATAAGGCTGGAGTGCAGTGGCACCATCTCAGCTCACTGCAACCTCCGCCTCTTGGGTTCAAGCGATTCTCCTGCTTCAGCCTCACCAAGTAGCTGGGATTACAGGCATGTGCCAGCACACCCAGCTAATTTTTGTATTTTTAGTACAGACAGGGTTTCACCATGTTGGCCAGGCTGATCTCCAACTTCTGACCTCAGGTGATCCACCCGCCTTGGCCTCCCAAAGTGTTGGGATTACAGGTATGAGCCACCCTGCCTGGCCCGATTTTTAAATTTTTTGTAGAGATGAGATCTCACTCTGTTACCCAGGCTAGTCTTGAATTCCTGGGCTCAAGCGATCCTCCTGCCTCAATTTAAGTAGTAGCTGGGACTACAGGTGCATGGCACCATGCCTGGCTAATTAAAAAGAATTTTTTTGTAGAGACAGGATCTTGCTATGTTTTCCAGGCTGGAGTGCAGTGGCACAGTCATAGCTCACTGTTGCCTTGAACTCTTGGCCTCAGTGATCCTCTAGCCTCAGCCTCCCAAAGCAGTGGGATTGTAGGCATGTGCCACTCTGGCTAGAATAGATGAGGGGAGATCATTTAAGACGGCATTGCTCAGTCTCACTAGTGGGCATACATCTCAGAGAAATCTTCACATAGACCACAGGGAATGAGCGTGAGGTTGTTCACTGTGGCATTGTTTGTGGTAGCCAGTAGTAGCTGGAGGCAACTTACAGGTCCATCATAACTAAAATGTGAGTGCCCACTTTGAAATACTGCATAGTTGCTATAAGTCATAGGTAAAGTGTGCACACAGTAACAGGTGTTGAAAGCAGAGGGTTGAGGCCTGGCACGGTGGCTCATGCCTGTAATCCCAGCAACTTTGGGAGGCTGAGGTGAGTGCATCACCTGAGGTCAGGAGTTTGAGTCCAGCTTGGCCAACATGGTGAAACCCTGTCTCTACTAAAAATACAAAAAATTAGCTGGGCGTGGTGGTGGACGTCTATAATCCCAGCTACTCCGGAGGCTGAGGCAGGAGAATCACTTGAACCCGGGAAACAGAGGTTGCAGTGAGCTGAGATCATGTCATTGCACTCCAGCCTGGGCGACAAGATTGAGACTCCATCTCAGAAAAAAAAAAAAAAAAAAGGGAAAGAAAGCACAAGGCTGAGTAGAAAAAGAAATCAATGAGGTTTATAGCACAATACCATTTAGGTAAATTGAAAATACACACACACACTAAACAACACATGTTTTACAAGGACATTCCCACACACTTGGCAAAGGGGTGAGGAGAGGAGGAAAGGGTTAAAACGACATAAATATATAAAACAATGCCTGGCACAGTGGCTCACACCTGTAATCCCAGCACCTTGGGAGGCCAAGGTGGGAGGATCACTTGAGGTCAGGAGTTCAAGACCACCCTGGCCAATATGGTGAAACCCCCATATCTACTAAAAATACAAAAATTAGCTGGGCATGGCAGTGGGCACCTGTAATTCCAGCTACTTGGGAGGCTGAGGCACAAGAATCGCTTGAACCTGGGAGACAGAGGTAGCAGTAAGCTGAGATCACGCCACTGCACTCCAGCCTGAGTGACAGAGAGAGACTCTGTCTCAAAAAAAATTTAAATATAACAAATAAATAGAGAGGCCATGCAGAGCCCAATGACGAAGCATGTCATTAAGTAGAAATAAGTAACTCAACAGCACCAGCGATTAAAAAACAGAAAGCCTTTGGCCGGGCGCGGTGGCTCACATCTGTAATCCCGCACTTTGGGAGGCCGAGGCGGGTGGATCACAAGGTCAGGAGATCGAGACCATCCTGGCTAACACGGTGAAACCCCATCTCTACTAAAAATACAAAAAATTAGCCGGCATGGTGGCAGGCACCTGTAGTCCCAGCTACTTGGGAGGCTGAGGCAGGAGAATGGCGAGAACCCAGGAGGCGGAGCTTGTAGTGAGCCCAGATTGCACCACTGCAGTCCAGCCTGGGCAACAGAGTGAGACTCCATCTCAAAAAAACAAAACAAAACAAAACCAGAAAGCCTTTGCAGTTGTTTAGGGAAGGTGTCCCTACCTTGGCCTAGGGTGGATGTGGTGGAGATGAAAAGTAGGTGGATTGTGTTACATGAATGAGTAAGTGTAAAGGATTTTGAACCCAGTGCATAGCAAGTGCCCAACGAATGCATTTTTATATTGCAGACATGTGGTGGATTAAATGAGGAAGGGGAGGGAAAAGGTGATGTCAGGGATAACCCCCAGGTGCTGGCTCAGGACGTTGTACTGAGTAGGAGGCGGGACATGAAACCTGAGTATAGATCATTCTTTTGAGAAATGCAGATGTGGAGAAGACAGAGCAATTCCTTACATGTGGACAACACTCTAAAACACTTTTTAAAAAGTTAATCAATATATGTTTATTGTAGAAAAATCAGAAACTAATAAAATTTTAAAACAGGGCAGAAACCAAAATAATTTAAAAAACAACCGTGAGCTCCAAATCTCTCCTGATCAGTGACTAGGGTTGATTTTTAAAATTTATTTTATTTTTATTTTTTGAGACAGAGTCTTACTCTGTCGCCCAGACTGGAGTGCAGGGGCGCAATCTTGGCTCATTGCAACCTCTGCCTCCTGAGTTCAAGTGATTCTCTCCTGCTTCAGCCTCCAGAGTAGCTGGGACTACAGGGGCGTGCCACCACACCTGGCTAATTTCTGTATTTTTAGTAGAGACACGGTTTCACCAAATTGGCCAGGCTGGTCTCAAACTCCTGACCTCGTGATCCCCCTGCCTTGGCCTCCCAAAGTGGTTGGATTACAGGGGTGAGTCACCACGCCTGGCCTTGGGCTGATATTTAACAATCAGGAGAAAGAGCCCATAAGACCTTTACAAATGCAAAATTTACAAAATCCCTCAAAGCATAACCTTCATAAAAAGTAGTAAGTCAAACTGCAGCTGGGTGGGTGGGCATGTCATTCACTGACCTGGAGCCCACAGAAAGAAATGCAAGTGTGATGGAAAAAAATGACGCATTAATTTTTGGATTAAAATAGTTTCAGTGCTGACGCCTGAGATTCTCTAATAAACAGAAAAATACTGACGGAGCTGAGCATGGTGGTTCATGCCTGTAATCCCACAACTTTGGGAGGCTGAGGCAGGAGGATTGCTTGAGCCCAGGAACTCAAGACCAGCCTAGGCAACATAGCAAGACCCCCATCTCTATCAAAAAAATTTAAAAATCAGCAGAATGTGCTGGTGTGTGCTTGTAGTCCTAGCTACTCAGAAGCCCTGATGGCACCACTGCACTCCAACCTGGACAACAGAGCGAGACCCTGTCTTAAAGAGAAAAAAAAGAAAAAGAAACGTGATGGCTAGGCACTGTGCTAGGTACTAGGAATACACAGCTGAACACAAGATGATCCTAATCTCATAGGACTTGCAACTTTATCAAATAATCTACAAATAATTACAGACATTTGTAGGGTTATGTAACCAATTATAAGATACCAAGATGGATTTCGATAAATACCATTGAGGCTATGCGTCCATTGCACGTCCATATCCTTAATACTTTCCTGAGAAGACCCCCTAAAAGTGCTATTTCTGGGTCTAAAGGTCTGCTTGTTTTTTTGGTTTTTTTTTTGAGATGGAGTTTCCCTCTTGATACCCAGGCTGGAGTGCAATAGTGCAATCTCCGGTCACTACAACCTCCGCCTCCTGGATTCAAGCGATTCTCCAGCCTCAGCCTCCCAAGTAGCTGGGATTGCAGGCACCCACCACCATGCCCGGCTAATTTCTGTATTTTTTAGTAGAGACAGGGTTTCACCATGTGGGTCAGGCTGGTCTCGAAGTCCTTAACTCAGGTGATCCGCCCGCCTCAGCCTCCCAAAGTGTTGGGATTACAGGCGTGAGCCACCGCGCCCAGCCTGTTTTTAATTAATTTTTTAACAATAGACTTTATTGACTTTAGTTTTTAGGGCATTTTTAGGTTCACAACAAAATTGCGCAGAAAGTACGGTTTTTGTATTACCTGCACCCACTCCTCTCCAGCAAACAGCAATCTCTTCGTTTTCAATTTGGGTTTTTTTTTTTTTTCCATTCTGTTTTAAATAGTCTGGGGGAATGGGAGAAAACGCTGAAAACGCACAAGCACTTTGGTTGGTTAAATTAGGGTTCCGACAAGAGCCGGAGCGGTGTGCCAAGTAAAAACTACATTTCCCACCCGGCAGCGGGTCACGTCACAGAGGAACGACTGCGCATGCGTTCAAGGTCCTCCGCGCGCGACTACGCTCATAAAAGGAAAAAAAAAACGTGTGCGGTTCTCGACGTGCCGCCAATCTTCGAACGCAGGTCCGTGATCATCCGCAGACTCCAAAAAAGCGTTCAAGGAACGTGCCAGCTTCCCCCGTCGCAGTTTCCAGCCCGAAGACCTTGTTTTCTGCGAGACTCGGTAGGTGGGGACGGGCCGTGGCCTGAGACCTCCGGCGAAGCGCGGGAGCGAAGGGCTAAACCCTCCCTCAGCGTCCAGGCTCCCGTCCTCCTTGAGGCGGCGCTCTAGGGACGGTGCGTACGCGCTCTGAGCGGGAGGGGGGCGGGGCTGAGGGGCGGGAGGGGCGGGACTCAACGGTGGGGCGGGCCCTGCGCCCAGCCGCTCGAGGTCTGCGCGTGCGTGCTTCCATCCCGAGCTAGGGTGGGAGACAGCAGCACGCCGGGCTCGGCAGGGATGCAGCTCCCAGGTCGGGTACGCGGCCCGGATCACGAAGATGCGGACAGAAGATGGGCCCCGAACTCCAGCATTTATTTTATTATTTGCACAAAAATTATCCTTTTTTTTTTTTTGAAGATACACTAACAGCTCGTAATTTGCCCAGGCTGGTCTCGAACTCGTGGGCTCAACCTCTCGCTTTGGCCTTCCAAAGTGTGGGGAGTATAGACGTAAGCCCCCGTGCCTGGCCAAAAAATGCCCATCTTAAGAACAACAAAGCAGCCCCCTTCACCCTCCCTGTCCTCCAGTTACCTCCTCCTCGCCTCCGGTTTGCAACCAGAGGCCTCAGTCTACCCTCACTAGTGCCTTTTCTCCTTCAAGTCTTGAACCTTGAGCCTCTAGTCAGGCTTTGGTCTCCACCACTCCACTAAACCGGCTTCTTGTCAAAGCCACCAGTGATCTCTAGATGGCCAAATTCATTGTTAAGTTAGGTCTCAGTCCTGTAGCAGCATCTGGTGCTGTTGATCGCTGCACTTTCTTGAAACGCTGTTTTCATTTGGCTTGCTGAACGTTCTCTTCCTTTGCCTCTCCTCACTCTGGCTTCTCCTCTGCTGATTTTAACCTAGGCATCTCACTTGTTTTTTTTTCTTAGAGACAGGTTCTCTGTTGCTCAGACTGGAGAACAGTGGTGCTATCACAGCTCACTGCAGCCTCTTGCAGCCTTGAACTCCTGGGCTTAAGCAGTCTTCCTAACCAAAGCCTCCCCAAATGCTGGAATTACAGGCATGAGCCACCACAATCCCAGTTTCACATTTTAAATGTAAATACCAGCCAGGTGTGGTGGCTCACACCTGTAATCCTAGCACTTTGGGAGGCTGAGGCAGGCAGATTGCCTGGGCTCAGGGGTTTGAGACCAGCCTGGGCAACGTGGTGAAATCCAGTCTCTTCTAAAAAAAAAAAAAAAAATTAGCCGGGCTTGGTGGTGCGTGCCTGTAATCCCAGCTACTTGGGAGGCTGAGGTACAATAATTGCTTAAACCCAGGAGGTGGAGGCTGCAGTGAGCCAAGATTGTGCCACTGCACTCTAGCCTGGGTGACAGAGCAAGACCCTGTTTCAAAAAAGTCCTAAAGGTGGAAGAAAATCCACATATAAGTGGACCTGCACAATTAAAACCTGTATTGTTCAAGGGTCAACTGTATAGCTATATTGAAAGAAATTTATTGTGATGGATTGGGTCACACAATTATAGAGGCTGAGAAGTCCCGAGATTTGCCTTCTGCAAGCTGGAAGCCCAGGAAAGCAAACCCTCCGGAAACTCACAAACACACTCAAAAGTGTTTCACCAGCTATCTGGGCATTCCCTAGCCCAATCAGGTTGACACATGAAGTTAACCATCACATTTCCCTAGCTTTGTTTTTCAGTTGCCTCAGTCATCATTTTACTGGTGATACTTTGAGTGTTGTCATAATAGCCTAATGCTGGTTTGGCAGCTTCCACTTCCATGATCTCTTTTACTATTGAATATGCTGAAGTCCTGACAAAACTTGGAATTGAGAGGAAGAGCATAGGTTTTAGAACTTGCAGCCTTGCAGCCCCGGCTCGACTACCTATTTTTCCTGAGTTACCTAGCATAACCTATCTGAACTTCAGTTTCCTTACTGTACGTACCATTCTGTTATCTATTTTATAGGATTGCTGTAAGGTTTAAATGAGAAACACTGGCATAAGTTGCAATACAGAGGCATGAAGGAAAAAATTGTCTTCTTAATGTCTCTTTAACCAATTGATGAATATAGATTGTATTTATATATTTATTTATGAGATGGAGTCTCGCTCTGTCACCCAGGCCAGAGTGTAGTGGTGCAATGTTGGCTCACTGCAACCTCTGCTTCCCGGGTTCAAGCGATTCTCCTGCCTCAGTCTCCTGAGTAGCTGGGATTACAAGCGTGCACCACCATGCCTGGCTAATTTTTTTTTTTTTTTTTTTTTGAGACAGAGTTTCGCTCTTTGTTGTCCAGGCTGGAGTGCAGTGGCGCAATCTTGGCTCACCACAGCCTCCGCCTTCTGGTTTCAAGCAATTCTCCTGCCTCAGCCTTCTGAGTAGCTGTGATTACAGGCATGTGCCACCACACCCGATTAATTTTGTAATTTTAGTAGAGACAGGGTTTCACCATGTTGGCCAGGCTGATCTTGAACTCCTGACCTTAGTTGATCTGCCGGCCTTGGCCTCCCAAAGTGCTGGGATTACAGGTGTGAGCCACTGCGCCCTACCTATTTATGTTTTTTTTAGAAACAAGGTCTTACTGTGTCACCCAGGCTGGAGCACAGTGGTGCCATTGTAGCTCACTATTCCCAAACTCCTAGGCTCAAGGGATCCTCCTGACATAGCCTCCTCAGTAGCTAGGACTACACATGTGCACCACCATGCCCAGCTAATTATTTTATCTTGTAGAGACAGGGCCTCCGTGTGTTGCCTAGGCTGGTCCTAAACTCCTGACCTCAAGTGATCCTCTCATTTCGGCCTCCCAAAATGCTGGGATTATGGTCGTGAGCCACTGCACCCAGTTTGCAGATTCTCATTGCTAGTGACTGGATTGAGAGTGTGGGATCTGAGTGTGGGGTATTAGGTTCCTCTTTCCCTTTGACCCAGAACAAAGCTCTTACTGTTTTAAGCCCTGTGGAATTAATCTTAGAGTGGCTTAAGTGTAGGATGTTTGGATTTGTTTATTTGGGGCCTTAGATGCTATTATAGTAAAAGGGCCAGCAATTTTAGGCTAGGTATTAGTGGTTAACACACGCTTCAATCCTGCAGCCTTTGTCCCTCAAAGTTGGCTGTCTCTTCAGACTGTGCTTAATGAAAGTTCTTCTTATTAGTCAAGCTACTCAGTTGCAGATAACAAAAAGCTACTCTGACTAGCCTAAGCGTGAAAGGGGTGTTTGTTGACTCTGTGATATTGTAAAATATATGTCTGGTCTGTATCCCAGTTTGGAGCTTCCTGAAGGGTGGTGTGCTCAGGCAGGGCACAGAAGCTCCTCACTCCTTCACATGTGCTTTGCCCTGTGCACCTCTTCCTTCAGCTGTATCCTTTGTGACATCCTTTATAATAAACTAGTAAACCTAAGTGTTTCCCTGAGTGCCGAGAGCTGCTCCTGCAAATTAATGGAACCCAAGGAGGGAGTCATGGAAACCCTGATTTATAGTCAGTTGGTCAGAAGCACTAATAAAGCAACTAGGGGCTTGTGACTGGCATTGAAAGTTGGGGGGACATGCTCGTGGGACTGAGCCCTCAACCTGTGGGGTTTGACACTTTGTCCGGGTGGATAGTGTTGGAAATAAACTGAATTAGAGGACACCCAGCATGTATCCACTGTAGACTCGGTGGATTGATCGTTGCTGGGGAGAAATCCCCGTGCATTTGGCCACAGAAATCTTCCGTGTTGATTATTGCACATTGGGACAGCAGAGGAGAAAATTTGGTTTTTTTTCCTCAGACTCGAGCTGAAGAGTCTTGGAGTAAATCAGCTTCAGGTAGGACTCTATCCAGAAGCCTAAGTTACGTCACCAGTGTTTTGTGTTTTTCTCTCTCTCTTTTTTTTTTAAGAGATCGGGTCTTGCTGTGTTTCCCAGGCCGGTCTTGAACTCCAGGCCTCAAGAGATCCTCCTGCCTCAGCCTCCTGAAAGCTGGGACTACAAGAGTCCACCACCACACCTGGATTTTTTTTTTTTTTTTTTTTGAGACGGAGTCTTGCTTTGTCGCCAGGCTGGAGTGGTGCAGTGGTGCAATCTCTACTCACTGCGACCTCCGCCTCCCAGGTTCAAGTGATTCTCCTGCCTCAGCCTCCCAAGTAGCTGGGACTACAGGCATGCACCACCACGCCCAGCTAATTTTTGTTTTTGTATTTTTAGTAGAAATGGGGTTTCCCCGTGTTGGCCAGGCTGGTCTCGACCTCTTGACCTTGTGATCCGCCCGCCTCAGTCCCCCAAAGCGCTGGGATTACAGGCGTGAGCCACCACACCTGGCTGTACACCTGGGTACTTTTTATTTTTGATGGAGATAGAGCCTGGCTATGTTGACCAGTTTGGTCTTAAACTCCTGGGCTCAAGCAATCCTGTGTACTTGGCCTTCCAAGGTGTTGGGATTACAGGCATGAGCCACTGCGATCCGCCTGTTTATTGTTTTTTTTGGTTTGTTTTTTGTTTTTTTTGAGATGGAGTCTCACTCTGTCGCCCAGGCTGGAGTGCAGTGGTGCGATCTCGGCTCACTGCAAGCTCCGCCTCCTGGGTTCACGCCATTCTCCTGCCTCAGCCTACCGAGTAGCTGGGAACTGTAGGCACCCGCCACCACACCCGGCTAATTTTTTTGTATTTTTAGTAGAGACAGGGTTTCATCGCGTTAGCCAGGATGGTCTCGATCTCCTGACCTCATGATCCACCCGCCTCGGCCTCCCCAAGTGCTGGGATTACAGGCGTGAGCCACCATTCCTGGCCTTATTGGTTTTGTTAAATGCCTTGTCATGAGGCGTTAGAAAGTCCATCATGGAAACAAAATAGCCCTACAGAAGGGGTTCCAAATTCTTCATATAAAAGTCTTCCCCAACTTCTCAAATGTCCATCAACAAATGAATGGATTAAAAACCAGATCTATCCATACTATGGAATGTTATTTAACCATAAAAAGGAATGAAGTTACCGATATATGCTGTGACATTGATGACCCTTGGAAACATGCTAAGTGAAATAAGC